ATATCCCGGTGCCGACCCGACGCTGCTGTACGGCGTCGGTGAACCGGAGCTGTCGATGTGAAGCCAGAAGGAGAAGCCAGTCAGTGCCAAGGCGACCACGAAAATCAGAGTGCATGGCGACGTACCGGACGCATGAAGTCGCCACTTATCCAGCATACTAACAAGTCCCTTTCATCATACACATCTGAGTCCGGCTGAAAAATACAAACAAGCAACGTTCATCACACGTTCTATCCTTAAATATCTATTTTCGTGTATACCGTTTCTTTTCTATAATGGAATAATAATAAGGTCTACTTTCAGACTGGACTATACGATTTAAGCCATGGACTGAGACACAGCCAGCAATGATTTCGTGTCTGGGGAACATGTGTGTAGCATCTGACTGCTACAACCCGATACTACCTCTCGCTTAATTCACACACGTTCAGTCGTTGGCGATCTTCGACGCGTTAAAATGTGAGTAGCGATAATATGCAATACTAAGTTCAATTCTCTGTTAGAAGTTGACCGATCAGCCGAAGTTCAAGATTTGAATATTAATCCGGAAATAAACTGCAGAATCTCCTTTCTATCAAGGACTTGAGAATGGGTCTCTGTTATTTGAACTCCTAACATCTATTATTTGTACTGAATACCCTTGGTCACATGACCCGGGTTGACTTCGCGAAGTTATGTTCTTTTGATAAATCTACTGCTGGTAACTCCATCTTCATCCGCTTGATAATTTCACATTTATCATTCTGGCTTAACGCTACTCTTCTTTTTGAAATTTTACCACACGACGTGTTACCGACTTGCAAATAAACTAATTTCTTCTAAAGACGTGAGTAATTACTGCCAAACGTTTAGCTGGCTCGCTACCGAGAATAAGCGATTTCTGCCGACTACAAAGATGCGAGCAAACCGACTACTCCTTGCGTACATTTCTATTGCCTGAGCTATGAAAATAAAGTGTGAATAAATAGCACAGATACTAATGAGCTTCTATTATCAGAACTAAAGATAAGAAGCCGTGGGGATATAAGTGGACCACTATCATCTGAACCTTCCGGTGATCTGAATTGTCTTGCTTCCCAAAAGTTCATATACACCAGCGTGGATATTTGTTATCGCCGTTGCCATAAACTGACTTTTGAGTTGGTCTATCTTCAGTTCGGTGAAAGTGTTGTAGAGACGGTCGATTATCGGTATTTCAAGTATACCTTGAACTAATGTCGAGCTTGCATTACTGGCAAACATTCGCTAATAAATGATTAAAGAGTTTGGCTAGTTATCGAGGTATTCAAGGAGATGAAACTATGATAAAGCTCACTGAAAGTGCATATCAAGCAAATTATAAACAAACAATACAAATGCACATATTACATTGTACTATCTTCTATACGTTTCAATCCTTCACAGGAAATGTATGTATATACTAGCATAATTTTCCACGTGATATTTATCTTCTTTATATCAAGTAGCTATCTATACTGTACTATTCGTACCTGTATTGCCATATTGTCAATTTGTACGGAGATTTTTGTACAGTTTAAAAGTACAGATATTACGTTCGCGAGTCGTAATTTCATTAAAGAATTGTAGAATATCTTCGGTCTATTTTAGAAGCAGTGTAAAGAAAGGTATATGGACAAGTTAAGTCTATCCCCTTGAATAAGTTCCATCTGCCCATGACCTTGAACGGTGTTCGAAAGCGGCTGTTGAAATATGTTGAGAAACGTTGATAAATGAAAATTTATCGGACAGATTAATTTTAAGGCAAGTTTGTAGGTAGAATCTGTCTTTTAAGTTTCATCAATGGCGAGATGATCTAACTCCTATCACGATCATTCAGCAACTCTAAATACTCGATACAAAGTGTAAAGATTGATATTAGTTAATGTAAATGTAATAATAAACAAGAATCGTTGTATCTTGAAATTCCATAAAATGTAAATATGTTTATACGAATATTGTTTTCTGGCGCCATATTGTTATCTGGGAATTTTCGAAACTGTTCCGCCAAGATTGTTTTCCGGTTTCCATGGATATGTATGTTATCGGATTGTTATCTGTAACGCAGAATGCTTACGTTTATCAAAAGATTACCTGTACGTTACGGAATTGGTATACCAGTCATCCGCTCGACGTGGCAGTATACGACGGTCTTCAAAGGCTGAACATTACTTTGCTCAAGTTCTTCGCTTTTCCATGAAAAGTTTCTGCGTTTGTTAGAGACAGTGTTAGTAGAAATAATTTCCCTGTTTCTATTGTGCGGAAACTGTTGAACGTGTTAATGGATGTTGAGAGCTGCTCAATGAAAATGTACTTCAAGTACTTGGAGCATATCTTTGGACTTCTTGGAAAGTGCCTGGAAAAAAACACTCTACTTCATAATATGAGAAGTAAAATAATTGCTTTTTGATTTATTATTTAACCCTTTGCACTCGATGATCCTTTCGCTACAGAAGAGTAGAAATTCGAAGATTTTCTGCTACAAAGCTGACAATATTTTTTAGAACGGTAAATAAAAATTCGTATAATAATTAACACGTAGAATTATTTCATATCAATACCTCGCGCACTGTTGCGTCATTTTGAATTTAATATATCAATTAATATCGATCTTCGAAATTTTATTGGGTGGTGACTGAAGATCACCTCTCGAGTGCAAAGGGTTAATACATAAATATATATACATAAATACTTATCGAATTATGAGAAATAACAAAATGGTTATCTAAATATTTTTTGTTGGTTACGGGGGGGGGGGGTTTTTTGTTAT